TGTTGCAGGACAACTAACACCAGTGGAATACAACAGACTAACAGTGTCTGAGACAGTGTCGATAGATGAACCCACCGGTGGATACATGGAGATGTTGGAATACCGAAACTCGGCTAGAGGGTATGTAATGGCCCTGGAAGACGAAAAAGTCATGGAGGGTTATCTGGAAACAATGTTGCAGGGCACCACCCTCAAGCAGAAGGCGTATGGAACTTTGGCGTCGTCTGACGTACAGGCGGAGACGATCGAACAGTTAGTGAGCCTTCCATGGAAAGCAGTAGTATTGAGGTATTTCGAAGAAGAAATGAGGACTACGCCAAGAATACATGCTCTCGTGGCAGTACCTTACGTAAGGACAGAATTACAACTCAGGTTCGCCTGGTGCATGATGGGACTGACTCGCGAAGAATATCATTCAGAAGAAAGAAAAAGGTCAAAAGAAGAAAAGGTGTTCCTTATGACGAATCTGAGGGATCTGATAGTCCAGGAGGGAGCAGCAGTAGCGTGTGCGAAGCGGAGAGATGCTCTCTGTTTCATTCGATTCCTGATAGAGCAGATTTCAGTACATGCATTAAACACTTGTGTTAGAATGTTGAGGGAAGGCGATGAGCGAACGAAAGCCTTGTTCTTGCTAGCACTGCTGGACATGCAGCAAAGTAAACCGATGAGGGTGAACATGAAAGAACCTGAAGAATTGGAGCCCATGAAAAAGATAGATGAGATCAGGAGATTCTCAAACAAGGAGCTGAGACTCACTAAAGAATCTATGGGAGCATTGCCGAAATCCAGTGAATACTGTGGACCGATCAAGAAGAAGTCATATAGCTACGTATCCGGGATCATAGGGATGGCGTACAATCCTTTCTTGAGTGAAGACATACGTGATTGCTTCTTTGATTATGAGCAGGCGGTGTTACTAAGATTCTGGACGTCCAGAATTGTAACGATCAAGAGCGTTAACAATCCACAGGCCAAATTGGGACTGGTCTTGGAAGAAGAGGTGACTGCACCTTCAGTACCAAAATCCGACAAGAGAGTGGAGTTTGGGTTGGGATTCTCAGATGAGTTACTGAGAACGAGCTTGATGGCAGTGTGGGAATTGATGAGGCCATCATGGTGTCCTAGTCCCAACGCTGACTCAATATTAAGGGCGACACAAGACGTACAAAGGGAACTGAATGCAGACTGTAACCTGCGTGACCTCAACATCATATATAATGTGATGATGACAGCCTCTAAGAGCAACGGAGAAGATAAAGTGGAGTTGCCTGGCTGGGGACCAGAAGACTGGGTCAAACCTGGTAGCTGTCTGGCGGAAGTCTGTGGACTAGAGGGTCACGTTTGTGGAGGTCTAGACTGTGTGAAAACCCTGGAGAAACAACACAAGCAATTGACAGTATTGTTTGGAAATGTGGTGATGAAAGCAAGAACGGAAACGGAGCTGATAGCAGATTGCCATGGAGGAACCGATGTGAATCTAGTGACTGCACTAGGATTCTACAGCATGTTTGGTTCTTTAGAGTCACTATTGAATCTAGAACAGAAACATGAGATGGCCACAGCCATCAGCGTAGAAGTGTTCCCAGGAGTTCTGCAGACTGAGCAGAAATACATAGGAAAATGGAGGGAAGCAATCGAGACAGAAATGAACATCAGACACAGCGAAACTTATTGTAGACCATCAGGAGCACGATATTTGGTGGGCTCAACGTTGGCTCCAATGTGCAAGAGCAGATATCCTGTACATTTCGTAGCTGTGGACGTGAAGAGTACAAGAACGATTGTGGATCAAGCCTTCTCAGTGCCGAAGTGTGTGAGGTTGGCGAGAATGAGAATGTCTGAAAAGTCTTACGAGTTACTCTGTAAGATGTTCTCAGCAGTCCCAGGGAGAACCAAAGAAGAATTGGAGTCAATACTAGGAAAGAAGTTCATGGGATATGTGAGCGGGAACTTCAGTGACTTCGAAAAACAGAAACAGAGAGGATCAACTGTCACAGATTACAATGCAGTAGATGAGAATGATGAAATCCACCGAGTGATGATGGAAGTGGAACCATTGCTGGAAGCTTCGGGAAAACGTAATTGGAGGAGCATCATGTTGACGCATGACGAGTTTCCTTGCCACTGCTTGCTGCAGACCTGGTGGTATCCCAAGCGTAGTAATCTGATGTTGATCTGGGACTCTGGAGAGCTGCTCTCCATGGGTTTACCAGATTCATCACAGCCCGTAACAATAGTGATAATGGGAGTTATGATGGCGATACGATGGCTGGAAGCTCATGTGAGAGAAAATAATAGACAGGAGGCGCCGACGAGAGAACAATTGCGGAAATTAGATTGTCTAAAAGATTTAGATCTTTTTGAGACAATGTGCAAAGTTCTAAACATTCCGATGGAAGTGAAGAAGATATGGGCGAGAAAACGATTGATGCCATGGTTCAGAGCTAACATGACTGCGTGGTTGTACGAGTATGCGAAAAAGCATATGTCGAAACATGGCAGAGTGTACAGTGAATATCAGCTGGACATTGGGGCAGGAGCTTTCAAGTGAGCTTTCGTGACTCATCGGAATGCAGTGACCACTGCTGTGAAAAGAATCTCCAGGACGAGTGAACGTAGTGGAAATGAGAAGGCAGAGATGCTGAAAGAAGATCTGGAGAGAAACGTGATGTTGTGTCTCCACAACAGCTTCTGTAGAAACAGAGAATCCAACGTGGATCCCCTACCTTGCTGTAAACAGAGGGTAGAAGAGCAGAAGTGTTGGAGGACGGCTTCCAACAGCGTCAGGATAGCCAACGACGTGCTACAAGACACGGAAACCGAAAGTGCGGAGTCAGCATCACAGGAGGAGGAAATGGAACATTGACGAATGGTCGAGAAAACAAGAGGCAACAAGAAAGAAAATTAGAAGAATTTAGAAGTTTTAGAACTTCTAAACGACGAAAAAAGAAGAGAACAAAGGAGTGATGAAGAAAAGTTAAAACTCAGAATTGTTTTAAGTGTGTGAAAAACTCAAGTGAGAAACCAAGCAACCAAGTTGTAATTGAAAACTGAAACATTTAGTTGAGATTTGAAATTGTTGCATTTATAAATTTGCATTTTGATTTTAGCAGAAGTGGCTTTAGAGACACTTATTATTTATTTAGAAAGGCTTAAGAGAAGAGTATATTTAAATATTCCAGCCTGTATGATTGTTTTTAATCACTTAGGAAGACTGATCACTTTGTGGTGACATGAAAAACTTGAGTAACCTCTTGGAGAGGGAGGTTGGTACATTGTTCTTTCTAACCACAAAGTTTCTTAGTTTTAATATTCAGGACAATAAACAAGCAAGATTTCCGAAGGGAAGGAGCATAGTAGGATAATTTTAGCTTGTTGGTTGGCAGGACTGTCCTGCAAGCCAACACCTTTTAAATCTAAGAGAAAAAGTTTTAATCGGGACATTGACACTGGAAGTCAGAAAATATGTTTTATCTTAGGTTGTATCCTCAACGTGCAGATTAATGAGAGAATTTGAAGGCTATAGTGATGTAGTATGATGCCATTTATATTCTGTAGTGAGTTGAAGTGACGTGGATAAAAGTAATTTCGTGCATTTTGTAAATTCTGTTCGATGACACTGTAACCATTTTATGAACATTGCGCGATTCAATGAGGACATTGACCGGACTGTCCGGGGAGTATGTGACATTCGACCAGAATGTGAAAAATGCAATCTCTGCAGAATTCGGAATTTTAGCAGTAGGCCTTCCGGATTGGTGGTTTTCAAGAACTAAAAGCGTTATTGGAACGTTTAGCCAAACGATGAGGGCTAGAATATTCTAGTATTTTAAAATTTCAAAAATTCGAAAGATGACGTCACATTTCTGAGAAATGCTGAAACGGCCATTTTAACAAAAACGAGAGAGAAAACACAACAACGTTAGTTGCGCTGACGATAACAACGATAATCGTGATTGAAAAACAGCAGCAGATTGCAGGAACAGCAGAGAACGTTCCGAGTTGCAACTATTGTGCTGCTACAATAGTTGCAAGGCCGTTGCGAACAACGGTGAAGGGTAAGAAACCAGCCTTCCGGATTAGGAAGAAATCAAGATCAACGAGCTTGATTCAGCGGATTCAAGAATCCGGAAGGGTCTCGGGACGGAAACTTTTATTGACTCGTGTGAACTTTTAGCATCCTGTCATGTCCTGACTTGAATTTAACTGATATTTGGATTAGTTTTGACAAGGATGAGGTGCTAGGAGTTGGGGGGGGGGGGGGGAAGGGTTGATCCATCTTCGATGGAGATGATGATTTTTATCTACTGAACAAAAACAATAGTTATATAATAAGTAGTAGCCCTGTTTTTAGGAGTGACCTCGTGGTCTGGGGATACTGAGAACCAGCCATGAGCTCACTATTTCTGCATATAATCTAGTTAATTTGAGTGTTTTGACCGAAGCCGAAAGCAGTAACGTTTTTGTCGGCCCGATGTTAGAAAAGACCACCGAAAAGTACTGGCTTGGTAGAGACGGTGAAAAGCATGCAAAGCTCTGTTTAGACGCTAGCCAGTCGTCTTAAGACTTAGTTTTGTTTTCCGTCGATATGTATCTTCCGGGCGAAAGTTACACCGCCAAGTCATGTTGGCGTTGTCCCGGTGCTTACATTCAATAGGCAAAAGTGTGCAGAATGTATCGTCATGACCACCACTGCTACCTCGGAAAGGTAGAACGAGTTCCCGATGGTGACTTTCATTTCGTTTGAATTGGTTCTAATGATTTGATAAAAATCAAAACCATCGCCCCTGGCCTTGACCAGCTGAGGTGCAGATGGGAGGAACTTATTACCTAAAAGATACCACATAGATACCGGTATCTAATAGAAACCATGGTGCTCACACTGCTTATACTACTTGTAACTTTTATTTCCGGTCTTGTTTAAAACACGCAATGATTAAATTCTAATGTATGACATGTATACTATATGAGGAAACAAAACTATGTCCCCTAATGCGCACCTGAGGGCTGTTGTCGTGGTGTCTCAGTGTCTGAGTGTGCGTGTTGGTGTGGTAGAAAGTGAGGATGTGTGTGAGGAGTTGGCTGAATTGGGGGTAGTACTTCTTCAGGGCACTCTGCACTTGCACCGTGTGACTCAACACACTCCGCACCAACCCACTCAACACATTTCGGTACTCTGTCAACAAAAGCACACACTCACAACCAAACGCCAAATAAAAGTAAGCTCATTCAGTTAGCTCAGTAAGTTTTCGAGATCTTGTCAATTACAATGGCAGAGGAGGGGGATTCACTGCAAGGTACAAAATTTCCAAACGCTTAAAGGTTGATTTAGTTTTCATAAGGGCCGACCGAGGCCGAAATACGTTACAAATTGCAATAGGCGCGGTAACAAGATATCGTTTTTGTGCTTTCTAGTCCTGTAGGGGGGAGGGCTAGGAAATTAGACAAGCAAATTAGACGATGTAATAAAGGTGGGTATTCACAAATACAAATGAAAAATTAAAAAAATCAATCGTTTAAGCTCTTAGTTTAAGGTCGCCGGCGATAACCGGCTCTAATTTTTGTATAGTCCTACCCTCTGTTCGCAAGCTCGCAAAACTCTTCCGCTGTTTAGTTTTCGGCTGTTTCAACAGTAGAAAACTAATTTAATGATTCCTCCCATCACAATTCGACCAATCAGAAGTCGAGTTGAGGTACAGTCGTGCACAAGCTGGATAGGGCCAATACCCTATGGTTGGACCCGTATCTGAGCAACCCGTAACCCGTACACCAAGCCCGTTTACCCGTAGCCCGTAAATTTCACAAAAACGGCCGATCAAAACCGAAACCGGATGTTACACCTATTTGTGCGTGAAAACAGTAGCCAATTGGCAACTGCCCAAGAAGAAACTGAAGTGATAGACGTTGGACTATTTGACTCAGACATTGACGAGTAATGTGTGGTTATTTTGACAAAAAAATGGTAGCCTTTGTATTATCTCATCTGACCTACGAAAATTTGATTTTCAAATGTTTTCCGTTTTTAAAGTAGATTTACACTGGTTCACGCGAAAAATAGCCCGTAGCGTTGGCCCGTAACCCGTAGCACACAACCCATAACCCGTAAATTTTCTCGCGGGCCATACGGGTCCAACCCCAGCCAATACCAGCATTATATAAATACATCAATAAACAATATTGCAGAAATTTTTTGCAGGAAAAGTATTTACTTCAACCGTCCCTCCTCTACAACAGCACTAATTGAATTGTCTATGAATCCAAAATGAAAAATCAGCCCCATTTGTGCCAAAATTATTCAATCAGAAGTCGAGTTGAAAAATTTTGGCACAAATGGGGCCGATTTTTCATTTTGGTACAAAACAACATTGGTACAAATGAGATTTCACCGTCAAAAAAGCGTAAATTAGAGGATAACTTTTTGGATGGAAATTGAAAGTTTTACTCAAGATTAAGTCACACCAGGGGCGGATTTAGGGGGGGCGGAAGCCCCCCCGCCCTCAGGGATTCGACCCCCTGCCGACCCAAAGGGTCCCCCCTTTGATACTTTTTCAGAAATCCATTTTGGCCGACCGACCCTAAAATTTTTCTAAATGCGCCTTGGGCGCCAATATATACTAACTTTGAGGGGGAGCGCGCGCCAAAAAAAACGCAATTTTTTTTCAAAATTTTTCAAAAAGTGCCCAAAAACGGCTTTTTTTGACTGTTTTTTCATAAATTTGCCTGCGGCGCAGAAAATTTCGCCGGAATAGGGGCAAAACAGTGGTTTGGGAGAGCTCGAAAAATCAATTTGGTCGACCTAAAAAAAAGGTCGTCAAAATTTTCGAATTTTTTTTGTCAAAATTTTTCAAAAAGTGCCCAAAAACGGCTTTTTTTGACTGTTTTTTCAAAAATTTGCCTGCGGCGCAGAAAATTTCGCCAAAATAGGGGCAAAACAGTGGTTTGGGAGAGCTCGAAAAATCAATTTGGTCGACCTAAAAAAAAAGGTCGTCAAAATTTTCGAATTTTTTTTGAAAATTCGCCCCCCCCCCCTCGAGAAAATCCTAGATCCGCCCCTGAGTCACACGATTATTATAAATTTATAAATTGATTATATAGTGTAGAATCCAAAGAGTATAAAATAATTTTAAATGCATTAATTATACAACTACAAGTATTCTTAGGGGGCTAGGAAATTAGACGGCTCCAGTAAAAATGAATTTAGAATTTTTTTTGCAAAACTAGAATTTTGGACGAAAATCATTGGGTTAACAAAACTTATTGCTTGAAATAAACTTTTACAAAAACAGAAAAGTTTATAATCCCTTTGCACATCAAAATATTTATTATGAAATAATTATAAAGTAATAATCTATATGTTATAAACATTTTTGAAAAAGATATTTAAACAATTGCGACATGTGAAAAATTGATTAGCCTTTAAATATTTTCCGTATTTGTAATTTTGCATCGACGGATAGATTGAATAATTTTGGTCACCCCTAAATTTCTAGGCCATGTATTTACCCAATTAGCGTTTAGAAAAGCTCAAACCAAAAGTAAATAATAGTCGAAAAACAACTTTCACACACAATAAAATTTTGGGCCCATGAGAACACTCTCCCCACCATGTAAATTTTCTCACTCCCCAACCAAATAAAAGACGAATTGAATAAATTATTGGATAACTAATAAGTTTTGGCGGTTTATAGGTTATCAAAATCTGCTACTTAATAGGAAAAAGTCTGCTTTTTCTATTCTATGAAATATTTCTTTGATCATGTGTTTTTTTTTACAAAAATTACCTTTTTTATGGCATTTCAAGACAAAAAGTCAAATTGGATAACAAAAAGAGCACTTTCAGGAATCAAATACAGAGGCAAAGTTGCACTTCGCATACACAAGCAAAAACATGACCGATAGCGCTACTGGGAAAAACTGAGTGAGTAAAACTTTCAGTCTACAAAATTTCATAAGTGACGCACGCCAATTATGAGTCTACATAAACGCTAAGTGACGCAAGCCAATTATGACGCATTAGCAGTACCAGTCAATTTGAACTTCGGTTGGAAAATATTTGCGACTTCGGTTGGAAAAAAAAGAGTTCATACTATAAGACAAGCTTTGCTTGTGTAAACATTAGATAATTAGAGTTGCGAATAGATGCATGTGATATAGTGTCCCTTCGGATGGCTGTGGACAGCTATATCGTCGTTTATTGATAATGTTGTAAGCTGTTCGAATATTAATTAGCGCTACTGGCTATCAATTGTTATTGATTGTTTCCATAATTTATATGTCTCGAGCGGTTAAGACTTATCTTGCTTTTAAGGACGCAGGACTCGGTTCTTAACTTCTGGAATATCGCTAATCGATCGGCGCAAGTTAGAGCATGATTCTAATATTTTATTCTCATCAAGTCTACCCAATTGATTAGTAGCTCGGTATAAATCTCCTCTGATTGGTATTAATTACCATCAATATTTACATAGTTAAATAAACATAAATGTATGAACTTCATTTCATTAACAAGGTTAATTATGTAATCTAATATAGCATAAGAATGCATGACGTCATGTAGTGATGTCACACTACCTCACAAGAAGGAATCTTCCCGGGTGGTTTTCAGTTTTTGACTGTTTACAGTTAAAATAATTAAGTTTAAAATCGACAATCAGATTGACAAAATATATACTGCTACAGGAAAATGAGTAATTGAACTATCAAGTTATCACAAAAAATAATTAACATTCATTGGGTTAGAAGCACAGGTTATTACTTCAATTTACATTATGTGAAAGAGAAATCAATTGAGTTTAAATGGGAAATATTTTAATGGGGATAGGAAGCCACATTGAGTCTTGTTAAGGGAGTTAAGTGATAGATGATAGGGTCAATTTGATAATACCATGAGATTGTCAGTTATCAACTGTAACTAAATTTGCACGGCAAGTACTGTAGTGTCGTGTAGCAAACTATTGTTCGTCGTTTCGTCGTTTTTCTCTTCTTTCAGTGTTTGTTACTAGTCATTTCTTTTGTTCCATTGGTGCTCGAATTAGTTGTAAACTTTTCAAATGAGGTGACTTCAGTCTTTTCGTGGCCTCTTCAATTGCGAATAGATGTCCAACAAATTCACAGTTATCTGTTTTGTCGAATTTTTCACTTTTTGTTGAAGTTGACAGTTTATAAAGCTATTTGTACTTTGTTGTACGTGCTTAAAAGTTGCCACTGTGTGTTTCAGATATCATCTGATTGTTAAGAAGTATTGTCATCTTCTTCTTTTGGGTATTTTGTGCCTCTGGTGGCCTGACAACCTGAAAGGCAATGATACACTTCTTTTTGTGTGAAGTCAGAATTCCACTTTTTTAACGATGATTTTTGCTTTTTGGCCACCAACGTCTCATGATGCGGAATCTGTCTTTTTCAATTGGTTTCTTCTGCTGTCACTGCACTTCACTCATATTGGCTGTTCCAGTACTTTGCTGGTTCGACTGAGCAAAATTAAGCGTCAGACAGAATGATAAAGGATGGATTCCCCTCTTTTTTCAAAGTTTTTGAGGATTTTTGGTCCGGTCGTATCTTTTAAGACTCGAAGAAACTGTTCAGTTTGCTTGACAGCCTGTCAAGATTGTCTCAACGGTTGCAGTGGGTGATTTCCGGCGTTATCTTAGCTTTTGAGTTCGGATTTTTAGCGAATAATTCCGTCGATTTTTTTTTTCGTTTTTTCCTATCTTATTACATAGGAATTTCGCGAAATAATGTATCTTTCCCAATTTCGATCTGCTAGTGAGCTGACTTCGTACACGTGTTCACAGGGTGCTGGAATGAGGATCCACAGTGAAACTTCGAGTGGTTATCTCTTGAAATTTTTGAGGGATCAAAAATTTGTGTTATACCTAATAATAATACATGGGGTTTTCGTGCATTTTTTGAGATCTCCAGGAAGTTGACTTCTGCTAGTGAGCCGGCTTCGTGCACATGTCAGTAGGGTGTTGCAATGATGATAACCGGTGAAAGTTTGGCTGGTTATTTCATAAAATTTTTGAGGGATCAAAAAAACGTGTTATCCATAATGTTAATACATGGGGTTTTCGTCCATTTTTTGAGATCTCTATGAAGTTGACTTCTCCTAGTGAGCCGGCTTCGTGCACATGTCCGTAGGCTGGGGCAATGATGATCCAGGAGTATAAAGTCATTATA